CAGGCTACTCGCTGGGGGCTGGGTGAGTGTGCGCCTCTCTTTTTTGCACAGGTGCTCCGGCTCCTTGGGAATAATGGACGGGTCGGCAGATGCACCTGGAGTCGTGGAAAGCGCTGACGTTGGGCTGCAGAAAGAGAGAGTGGTGACGGAAGAGGAATGGCTGCAAAAATGGGAAACGGGCAAAACTGGATTTCACAAGGAGCAAGGGCATCCGTACGTGACTTGGGTCTTCTGCCTAAGCTGTTTAAACAAATGCCACGAGATGGATGACTTGACTGGTTCATAAAACTCATAGTAAAAATGCAGCATGTACAGAAGGAGAAATTATTCGTACAGACACAGCTTGAAGCTAAAACAAATAAAAATATTTTTGTGACCCACATTTGTCAAAAAGCAGAGAAAAGACAGGATTGCATCGCTTTTCCAACTTTTGCTCCTTTAATCAGATTTTAAACTACAGAGCTTAAGAACTTGACTGAAAATCTTAAATCTTCTGATGCAAAAGCTCTGCGTTACTGTCCGTGAGTTGTGAAACGGGGGCCTAAAACAACATGTAGAGGGCATTGAAGCACTGGAAGGCTAGGGCGCAAGAGCAAAGCCAATTACACCCTCTTGCAACCAATGAAAATTACCTTTCAGACATATATAGGCAATTTGGTCAATGCAGAGGTTTAATTATTATTCTGTTTAAGTAATGTAATGTGGCCCTTTTAGAGGTGGCTTGGTTTGTTTGTTTACCTCAAGAGTCAGCTGCCCTCTTTCCTAACAGAAATTAAATTTACTTTGTTTCTAGGTAAATGGAAGGTGACGGGTTTTATTTCTTGTTTTTATTCCTAGTTTTATTGAGCAGCTTGAAATAAGAAGCGCAATCTGTCATGGAGTTTGTGGGTTAGCTGGCGTATCACGTAGCACTTGGCTTTGAACTGGCCAACACACACAGACCCAATGTCAAGTAACACATATCTTGTCTTCTGCAGGCTCCTACAGAAGTATCTGGATGTTCTTTTAAATGGCCGGAGTGGACTGAGGATATTTTTCCCACTTTGTGGTAAAGCAGTAGAAATGAAATGGTAAAACGCAGAAAAAAATCCACGTTGTTGTGGGGGAGGAGGAAGGGAGAGGGGGAAATCCCAACCCTGTCACGGCCAACGGGAACATGCTGCATCTCCGCTGGCAGCAAAGCAGCATTACGGGGCGCCGAAGGGAGGAAGAAATTCGGTTTTGTTTACCGACTTTCTGTATAGTAGCATAAATGGGACGGTTAAGGACTAACGTGAAAGTCCTCCTCGTTGCCCCGGCTCCACCTTGGGGAGTGCTGCGTTTGCAACCGATGGCGTGGCTGAAGCTGTGCCCCGATGACCGCTTCTTTTGATGCCAATGCCAGCTTAAATTGCCCACGCCAAGGTCAGTTGTGCCAGAGCAACTGCTTGTGGGACCGTGGGGCGTATCACACTGGGAAAGCGGTCTGAATTAAATATAATTTTGTTTTCTTACTTTTTTGGCTCATATTTATAACAAGGGGCTGCGTAAGCCAGCGCTGCTTCTCGGAGGTGGGGACAAACCGAAAACACCTGGTTAAGCGGCACCCTCAGAGAATCAGCTTACCCGCGGTTATCACGCGTTATCTTGCAGATAAGCCGGACGGCAGGCTCTGACGCATGCCGCTGTGGCGTTTCGCGGCAGCGGTGAGCAGGTTACCGCACCCCGCTGCCTGCGCCCCGGCCGGCGGTCGCTGCCAGGCGGCAGAGGCAGCGGGGTGGAGGGCGCGCGCTCGCTCGGGCGCCGCCGTTCGGAGCCGAACACGCGAACGTCGACTGGAACGGAGAGATCTCTGAGGAACCAGCTTTCTGTTGTCATCAAGTCCGTAAAAAATACATGAATTATGGGGTTGAGTCTGAATAAAGCCTGTACGCCCCAATCTGAGCGGTGCGAATTTAAACTCGTGCCACGTGAGGGAGGTTTTCAATAAAATGTGAAAACTCCAGAAAGTCAAGCTTAGGCTTGCCAATACCCCCTAAAACCAGGAAGCGGAAAGCGTTTCTCTAATGCATACGTGCTGTTTGGGAGATGCGGGCAGGCTGGTGGCCTGACTTCGGGGCTTCAGGTGACCCTGAGCGCTTTCTGTGGTGTGTGCAGGCTGGCGGACATGGGGCACCGCGTCGTCGGTGCGGAGATCAGCGAGCAAGCGCTGAAGGAATTTTTCACCGAACGCGGCGTGCCTTATCGTGAGGAGCCCGTGCCGGGGATTTCGGGCGCGAAGATGTTGCAGGTATGTCTCTTGCGTTGTTGAACGGTCCGCATTGAAAGCCTGCACCTAAATTTCAAGGCTGCAGCGCTGTGTACTGCAAAACTGGGTAGCTGCATGCCTTGATGGAGCAGAACCTCTGGGGAGGGGGTCGGGAGAGGTGCTGCGGAAAAGAAAAGCTAAAAATGGTTCTCACGGTTTCTCCCCATTAGACCTAGGTGTGTATTTAGAGATGTCGTTCCCTAAACAATGTTTCCCTTGCTTTTTGTTGTAGAGCATGTCTGGGAACATTTCTCTGTACTGCTGCAGTATTTATGATTTGTCCAGGTAGGAATACACAGTGTGTTCTGCAGTTTCCTATCAAAATACATGTCAAACATATATTAATACTGTTAAGTTGAACCAGCCATAAACGTCTGGAGCAAGGCCCTTCGAGAAAACGCCTATTGACTTGTATGATGAGTGTGAATAGGCAGTCTTCCTCAAAAATTAACTCTGTTGTTAACCATTAGATAAAGATGTCAACTATTTATCTTTACATGGGCTTGTTGTTCTAAGGTGTCATATGAAAGTTATAGAAAAACCTGTCTGCTTTTACAGTAAAAACATATTATGTTTAATGTTATGAAGGAATGCTAACAAGCAAAATCCTAACACAGTCCCGTACTCAGAGTAGCTCAGTAAAAGTGACGAGGATAAACCAGAGGTGTCTTCTTGCAGAGCTGCTCCTTTAGCTAAGTCCTAAATACATTTTTATTCCTAAACTATCTCATTAATGTACGCGTAGGTAGGCAGTACCCATTGATTACTGCTTTACTTATTTGGCTAAAAGTATATTACATCACTGCAGTATTATGTCACTATGCATACTGTATTGTCAAACAAGGACTCCACAAGTATCTTGGCAAATATGGCCTGACTTAGTGATGTCTTCTAAGGGATCCTTGGTGCTCAGATGTCCTTATTAACCTAGTTAAAAGGCACAACATAAAATGCCGTATACTTAGTACAGTCAGCACTTTCAGCTCCTGAAAAGTGTTTCAATCTGTTGCTCTCTGTAGCCCCAATATTCTTTGCTGGTTTTGTACCTAATTTTTTACCTGCTGGGGAATTTTGAAAATCATCAAGTTGTACAGAGACCAAAGCAGGGCGTACGACTCTCTTCAGCCTCTAGCACAGAGGACTGTGCTGTAGACATTAATGCATCTGGCCCGTTTCCTGTTCCCCAGGAGGTTTCTTGTGGTGTTGGCAATGGGCGTGTTTAAGTCTCTCCTAAAACATCCTCAGACCTAGGCCAGCGCAGAGGCAGCTGGGGATTGGGGGGCATGCAAGAGGGCTGTGCCCAGTGCTGTAAGGGGACAACATGTCTCTTAGGGAGCTGAAGGTGCCGAGTCCTGCACTGTGGTTCCCCCATCCTGCAGTTCTTACTTGGACGCAATTTCCTCTGGAGTCTAAGGGTTTGGTGAGGTTTTCTGTGTTTGCTTGCTTTTCATAGAAAGCAACAGTCAGGAACAAGTTGCTAATATCAACCCACAGTTCTTCAATAAGGAGGAGGTCAAGTCTTAATCTTTGCTTGGATAGCCCTTTCCGAGCTACTACCAATATAGGTGTAATAGGCAGTTTAGGAAACCAGAATATGGTGCTTACTTTATGATACTCATTTTAGTCTGGATAAACTGGAAAAAAAGAAGAGTATTCACTACTAGAGTCCAAATTCATTTATACAGTAGATTGTTGCTAAAACTTTTGCTCGTGTAGCTGGCTTGAATAGTGCATGTACAACTAGTCCTGCAAAAAGGGATCTTTTGGAACAGATGGGCGGTATGTGAAAGTAGCTTTGTAGATACTGCCTGGTTCCTTCCTTGGCCTTGCTGTGTAGATTTCGTTTAAATCCTTCTGGCTGCAAGTTGACAAGTTGCCCAGGGAATGCTCGAGCTTCTTGTTAGCAACTTTTGAAAAATTCAGTTCTGGATTTAGTAGCAAGTAACACGGTAAAATCCATGGCTCCCATCATAACACGGTCGAATGACATTTTGAAACAAACCGAAAATCTGTAATTAAAAAAGTTGTCAGTGTATATTGCTGGACCTGGTACATAGTTTGTCATCCACAAAATAAATTGGCAGATACAGGTTCTGGGACTGGGCATTCTTATAAAGAATTTGAAGGTGAAAATATGAACCTTGTTCAGCAGTCGGCAGATACCTGTGACTACAAAAATGCACACACTTTTCTAGTTTCTATATACAGACAATTTGATTAATTACCTAGTAATTATGGAAATTAAACTTATTTCGCTCTTGCTGAGGCTAGTCTGCAAACAAATGCTTTTGATCTCGGTGCTGAGCATTCGTTAGACAGGAGAACTCAGATGTGCTCGTGACCTTTGTCAGAATGAGACGTTTCAAAGACTCTTTCGTTAGTTAATGAGTAACAGGAATTACTGCTCTTTGTAGGAACTCTGGGAAGTATGTAAAACAGTTACATTGCACAACCATTGTAGCTCCTAATACAATTATGGTTGCCAGTCTTTTAAAAAAAAAAACAAAAAAAACCTCAACCCCAAACCAACAAAAAATTGTATTAACTGAAACTCCTAAACAGATGAAGAGATAGCAATTCACAGCTTTACTGCCTAAGTCCAATGGGGTTTCTGCTGATACATGTTAATTTTTACTAATCCTTATAGTACATAGGCTGGCATCTATTGCACTAAGCACCATATAAATGTGCAACAGGATATAATGTAGGGGGCTAAAAGATTGGGTAGGGATCCAAAAAGAGGTACACCCACCAGAGCACTTCCTACCACACCTTCCACACCCTGCCCTCATCCTGCCTCCAGGTCAGGATACAAGACAGCCGTGTACCAATTCCTTTTCCTTCCTCACAGCTTGCCTTTTGTCAGAAGGAAATTAGGATGCACAGGAGCCCGGGACTGGGGCAAGGCTGCAGCACAAATCTGCCCGCAGCTTGCCGTGTCTGCAGGCCCTTGGCGAAAGCAGAGGAGAGTGAAGTACCTGAAATGCCTGTGCAGAGCCAGCACCGCCCTTCCAGTTAGACCAGATTAAAGTTGGGGAGAAAACCTAGGAGCAGAAAACTGCAGGGGCTTCCCTAAGGTTGCGCAGCTGGCCTCCGCCACGCAGAGAGGAGAACGGCATCCAAACCTTGGCCAGGTTTGCACCTGCCCTGCCAGACTTTGATGCTTCCCCCTCGCTGCACGTTTCACCATCTCTTTAAAAAACCTCCTTTCAGTTAAGACTGGGTATTTAAATTAGATCCTCAGTCTTGGCAAGCTTCAACAGAAGTCAGGACTTTAAAGCGTTATCATGTCTCATCAAATTAGAGTGGGAAATACAGGATCAGTGTACAGGTTAGATGCCAGAAATTTAGTGACGCTGTTGCAATGAGATGAGCAGCGGGTAAGGAGGAGCGGTAAGGGAAGAGGTGATGCAACCGGACGCCAACAGACTCTCCCAATAACCAGAAAGGTATTGCGCAATTTCACACCAGATTTTCCTCTCTAAGGAAACTTACTTCTTTCTAACTTGCTTTAAAATGATGCAATTTACTTGATTGCTACACTACTCTCTCTAAACTCCTGTTTTAATAATTACCAGAAACGAGACTCTTCCCTCCCCCCCCTCCCGCAACATCCCCATCTAGAGTCACCCTGGCTGCTCTTACCAGCCATTAGCAAAGGCAGTTCGCAATAGCCTTAGCTGTTTGCAGGCTTCGTGTGGTCACTGAAGCCACCTGCCAGCATGTCCAGGAGCAAAAATAATGCTTATAACTACGTTTGACTGAGGCAAGCAGCAGCGTAGCTTAGCCCTTCTTAAGTTAAAGAAATGAAACTAAGTGTCCTGAGCATGCACCTGGGAAGAGATGTGTCTTAAGATGCTGGGTGCGTTGAGTTCAGTGATAGCAAAGCAACAAGGTGCCTTCCGTAAGCTGCATTTGAGATTGCACGTGGCGTTAGAAAGTGGCCGAGAACTGGGGACATCCTGCGTGTAGGATGTCCCCAGTGTGTTAGTGCTGTCTCAAGAGTCACAGCAGGGTTCAATCACCAAAAACCTAAACTTGTAGCCCAGAAGAGAAATGTGCAGACTGGATTTCTTCCTTCCCACCTTGTCTCGGCACCATTTAGTGATGGGGAAATGCTGAGCAGTTCTAGCATCTCTGTGTCCTCCCAGCAGGATCACGTGCCAGGTGGGCTTTTTGAGACCCGGTTCATAATGGTTTGGATCGTGAAGATGCTGAACCTTAACAACAAATCAGCTACTGGGGTATCTGCACAGCTAGCTGGAGATTCCTTGTGACTCTATAGAAGTATCTGAATAATGATGAACGTACCTTTTAAATATGTTTTAAACCTTTCTTCATCTCCTTGTAGTGCAATTGTTGGCAAATTTGATGGGGTTTGGGACAGAGGAGCTCTAGTAGCTGTCAATCCATGCGACAGACAACGGTTAGTAATCTGGCTTTGTTTTTATTTTCTTTCTTCTAACATATCCGGTGATTATGTGTCTTCTCCTCCTGCTACTTGTCGATGACTCCTCTTTCATTTTGCAGAGTAACCTAAACAAGTTCCTCCCTACCGCAGGTGTCAGCTGCAGTCGCAGAGCACTGTACTCTAGATTTGTGAGCTTCCTTCAGGAAGCTGTCCTGCCTCTTGGTGGGAAAATGTGTGGTTTCTTGCAGCCCAGCAGAAGCAGAGCTGCAAGTCTCTTCTGAATTTTATTATTTCCTTTCCACTTCATCTGCTTCTCCTCCCTGTCTTTGTTCTTCTTACCCTCACTTCTCTTTATTTCAGTACTTCGTTCTTGCCTATAGCCAACCCAAACTTAGTTTGGTCCCACCAGCAGGACTTTTTAAGTGGATATGCAGTCTTGAATTCACAATAATTTTAAAAGCTCCGTGCTGCGTTGTGCAGTAATTCTAGACTGTGGCGAACAAATTATGTTTGGTCTGTTAGTTGTGAGATTAGCGTGGGGAAAAAAAAGAAAAATGCTTGTTTATGAGAAGCATACAGTAACATTTATTTGAGGTGTTTCATGTGTTGCATGAATTTTATGCTTATATATCTTTGCTTATTTTCCATGCAGTTCAGTTGAACTTGCCTCTGCATAGGGATACATCATATTACCTTTTTTGTTGAATATTTTGAATGCTATGTGTAAATGTTTGTACAGTTGCAAAATAATAGAATGTAACTATCTTCTTTCAGCTATGCCAGTTTGATGATCTCCCTAATGGAGAAAAGCTCTTCTTATCTCCTCGTTACTGTTTCATATGATCCAAACAAACACAAAGGTAAGAACTTTGCACTGTTTGTGTTTTGATTTTGCATGTCTTAATATATTTTGTTTGCAGATGTGATTGATATATTGGTATCTTCCTCAGTGCTTTTATCAGCGTGGCTGTGTTAGCAGATCACGCCAATACAGTTGTTGTAGCGGAAAGTTTTTTTAGATGTTGACCAAGCTTTAGACTAAATTTGCTTTTTATGTGGCATCCAGATGTGCTAAGAGCAAGTGGAGGACAGACATGGCATATTAACACAAAGAGCAATTAAATTGCAAGGGTATAAGTTTAGAGTAACGCACTGTATGTCCTGACCATCCTAGGGCCCTTGAGGCATTTCCAAGACTCTGTAACTATGATAGATCTTTGGTTTACTCAATACTTGCAACCAAATGTGTTGCCCATCTCGTGCCTCCCTTCCAATTCCAACCATGGGTCAGGTCTGAATATGCCTGGAAATGGCGAAGTTCTGTAAAGCCATAAAGTACTTTTCCATTTCATAACTTTTATTGTATGCCAAAGTTGGGGAGGGGAGGGGGTGTCAAGATTGTTTTGGTTAACTATTAACTCTCAAAAGAAACAAATTTCTTGTTGCTTTTGGGTTCCTCAGAGTAATTACCCTTCAAAGAATAGGTCTTGCTGTTGTTAACCACAATAGTTTAATTCATTGCTCTCCCTCCTGTTATTCAGCTTTTTACTTTAATTAAGCCATTATAGTGTAAAGGGATTATTGGCTCGATTCACACACAGCACTGAGAGTGGTCACATCCACAGCATGGTCATGACCTTCCTCTCTTCTGACAACATGCCGCAGTGGCAGAAATCTGAAACTAGTCCAGCTGTGACACCTGAAGCTGTCTGGTGGTGCACCAAGCTGCCTTGCGCTCATGGAGACGTTGTTTTCTGGTTGCTGCAGAGGGCGGTATCCCCAGGGCCAGACTGCAGGCTGGGTGCTGTGTGTGGTGGGGCTAGCGCGCCAGCTGCAGTATAAACACGCTTGTCTCTTCCCTCTCCCTTCTCTCTGATTAGCTTTACCCATTTTCTTTCCAGGCCCACCATTTTATGTTCCTGAAACTGAAATTAAAAGCTTGTTTGGTAAGTTATCTTTTGGCTAACCGTTATGATTTTTTCCAGAACACACAAATGTGTTTATGTGCTTCTATCTCACCCTGTGGCGAGTGATACCGAGTCATCTATTTGCTTCTTATGTAAGAGGCGGAGTAGTGGAAAAATAAATGGGGGAAAATAAATATCATTTTGCCAGAAGGATTTTGTTGTTGTTACGGAAAATTCTCAGCTCTTCAAAAGATATGAGGAAAATGTGTCACTCGCAAGACAGACATGGCCTCTTCCCTGCCTGTGGCAGCTTTTCATTCTCCCAGGATTCAGACCACACTCAGTGGTCTTGCAGCTTCAGTCTTAGTCCTTTTTAACGATTTTAGCTTTTTCTGCACCTCACCACCATCTACCCCAGTTTTAATACAAGGGGTAGCTTATTAGCGCTACAGTTTTTGCTGTAGTTTTGGAGCTGAAGAGGAAGAATAAAATGCTCTGCTAAAGGAAACATTAAGCGTATAACTGAAATCCACCCAAGTAAGGAAAGTCAGAATTCTGGCAGGAATTTCATTTTAAATGCACTTCCCAATATGCTTTGATATTGCACTCAGTTGTTTTTTTAAGTTTGCCTTTCCGAGACCTCCTTAGTGTCCGTGCACAGTGCGTCGTTGGCACTGACAGCTGCATCCCACTGCAAGAGAGACGGCTAAGTTCTGCTCAGCTTGTTTGTGTTACTTAGGCACTGTGATGAGATACATGAATAAGATTTTTTTTTTCTGATAGTTTACATTTTTTCAATGACTTAGCATACAGTAATTCACTATTCTTTCTTCCTTTTCAGGCAAACTGTGTGAAATTAAGTGTCTTGAAAAAGCCAACGACTTTTCAGACAGACACAGAGAATGGGGACTAGATTATTTTCTGGAGGTGCTGTATATTCTCAAGTTTGTAGCCTGATGAAATTAATTAAAATAACTTACTTCTCACCTTTCTTTTATTTTTTATCTCATTTCTTTTTAAAATCAGACACATTTTTGGGCACTCTTAAAGCAGGCTTCCGCATATGGAAAAATGTCTGTGGAACTGATCTTCTGATGATTTTGCTTTCAAAGTGAACTCTACTACGTAACTGCCTTGACTGTCTTTGTGCGTAGCTTTTCGTAAACTCCGTGCATAAATAAGCTTTTTAAAAGTGGATCTTTTTCTTCAAACGATTCATTCAAATAATCAGAACTACAGAAAATGGCCCTTTTCTGCGGTTGCCGATAGATGCTGTCTGTCTGGCGTCATGCAGGTCTACCTCAGGCGTTCGCAGGCCAGGGAATAACAGCAGCGGCTCTTCAAATACCCGTTCCTATAATGCTGGCCTTGCGCCAGTAACGGCAGCTGGGCAAGAGAAGCGGGAAGCTGGCACAAGTTGTTTCTGCCCATCCCTGTTAGTCATGATTATAAGCCAAGAGACTAACCGGCAATGAGCAGACAAGAAAGCTTGGCAGCAGCCACCGAGGGGGAACTATAATCAAGTGGGAAATAGGTGAGAGAAGTGAAGCAGCTGACAACAGAGCAGAGAGCATGGGGAGAAAATGGTCCTGCAGTTGCTTGTAAATATGCTGCTCTCCCCTGCAAGAATGCAGTTGCAAGCAGGCAACTGGCACAGGGGTTGTACATTCCAAGGAAAACCTGCAGGTTTCCAGGAAAGCCTGCAGAGCTTTTGCATGTTTGCCTGAACAAAACCCCTTCTTTGAGGGTCTTCTATTGTTGCCTTACGGATGCTTTTGCAATTTTCAAAATTGCAGAACTTGGGGGGGCTCATTTTGAGTTTCTGGTCAGTTATTTACCACAATACAGAAACATTCCTTATGAGGGGTCTCAAAACTCTTTCTTGCCCTAGCCTTCTCCCCTTGCCAGTTCGTTTCAAAACAGATGGAAAGGTATGATTACAAGGTCGTACGTATACTGTCATTTACTAAGGCTAGAATGAAAATAAGAGTGAGTGTCACGTTTGAACTCCAAAAATACCCGGTTCAGAGCTTTATCCGACTGATCTTCTTTTGACTGGCCTTTGCTCTTCATTGCAGGTGTTGCAGTCCTAGAGCTGCAAGGGGGTCCGAGGCTTTTAGCACAATAGTCCCCAACCGGTGGCCCGTTGCAGCTCTTACTATTGCTCATAGGCACCCGGAGCTGCTGCCACTTGAGGCCAGGTTGAGAGAGAGAGGGAGAAAAAGACAGCGTTGCTTACCGCGCGTTGCTCGCTTGTAGCCAACGGGCCAGCGCAAGCTGGGAACGGCTATTTTACAGTATTTTTACTCCTGGCCAGTAGAGCAGCTACCGGTAGGAGGGAGCGGGCTGGCTCTCCGCGGGCCTCGCAGCACATTGCACGCGCAGCCCTCCGGGAAGAGCAGCTGTTAGCGACGAGCCTATGTATTTTCGGCACATTTTCGAAAGCTTTCCCCTCATCGGGAAGGGGAAATTCGTGTGAAAGTGCGACTGCGCCCTTACCCCTATATAACGAGCACCAGCAGCTCAGTCGGTAGCTGGGTGCCTATAAGAATACGTTGCATATAATTATTTTTCCTCGTCGGTGGTGCAATTTCGACAGAAACCGGGTTTCACCGAGCGGGAACCGACAACCCGCAGGGGGGCAGCAGCCCT